CCTGCTGATAACTCCCTGAAGAGGAGGGCGAGGCTCAGCATCTGCAGTGCTGGTTTAATGATGAGGGGCGAGGACGGGGTTGGTGGGAGCCGATACTTCAGAACACGGTTCCTCTAGCAAACACTGTTCACGTTTGCTTCCTGTCGGGTTGCCATTGTAAACCCAACACAAAACAGGATGTTGGCTTTTAGAGTCGAGTGATCTTTGAAATGCAAGTGTTTTATTTTCTGTGGTTACCCTATCCCCGTTTTTCAGTTGAGACTTGAGCTGCTTGAATGGGAACAGGAAAGGCTGAGACCTCATTTTCAGGGGGTGTAAAAAATCCAACCTGGTAACAGCTGCTGGTTAAGAATATGAATTCTGGAAAATGATGTGGATATCAGCAGCCAAAGCCAGACAGAGAGGTGCACAGAACAAGCTCAGATACTGTCACTGAACAGGCAAGCTCTACTAAACTCTGAATAAATGCCTTAACAAAGTACCAAGATTCGATCTGTCTTGCAGAGAATTACAAGTCCCTTCCACCCTTTGCTCATCCACCACCCTGACAAACACCTCAGATTCAGCACCCACACAAACACACCCAAATGAGCTAGCTGTGTGGACATAGATACCTGAGTCAAAGTTTCAGATGCCCCCAAAACTTTCATTTGATCAACATTCAATCAAACGATTGCCATGTCACTGCATCTCCGTTCTGTTGACCTAGCAACCTGTAGGAGACCCATCATCCATACCTAATAGCCAAAATGCAAGAGGCAAAAAAATATTACACATGGTGTTTCTGAGCATGGCACAACTAGTTGTGCTATCTCTTTCGCAGGCAGGCCAGGATGAAGGATTTCCTTGCACCTCTCCCCCACATGCTGGCTGTAGCAGGAACAGCAGTCATTTGGCCTGAAGCGAACTTGCTGTTTTGGCCTCACACGTCTTGAAAAGAACCAGCTGGGAAGCTGCAATATCCAGGCGTCCAAAAGCACAACATTTTCTCAGTAATATGAAATCTCCCCGTAGGGTCTGTTTTAATGGTACTTGTGATGACTGCATTTGTTTCCTCCTGCATAGAACAGATGTAGAAACTCCTCTGCGTATATGAAGAAGTTAGTCTCATACACATGGCTATATTGTCGAAGGTCTATAAACAGAGATACACAGAGAGATGCAGAGAGTCATACCCTAACACATCTCACATTCATACTTGCGTGTACACATCATGTAGAACACCCAGTTCCTCAGTGTAGCCTCCTGGAACAACATTTGTTCAAAAGTCCTTGCAGTTAAAACGTGGCTTATTTGTTTCAGATTTTCTCATGTTTTTCAGTCCAGAAATAAGAAAATCTAGAGCAAGTACACATCTCATGTCTTCTTGTCTGGAGAAAAACATACAACTGTATTTCTGTGTGGTTTTTTCCTTCCTCCAGGAAAAACGATTTAGCATTAATAAACTGAGTACTAGGTGCCGTGTTCAGAGCAATGGCATTTGGGAATCCTGCTGGCAGAAAATATTTGCCTTGTGGCAAGATACTTGGGAGCAGAAATAAATAGAGTGAAGGATTTTGGTGAGGCAACTGAAACTACCTTTGCTTTATTAGTATGGATAAAATGATACTATCCCTAGTTTCCTAGGTTTCCTTTTCTGTAGAGCTAAGCAGTTTACTCTGCAGAGTGCAACTCCTGAAACCAGAAAGAAAATAATTAAATTGACCCTGAGCACCATTAATCTGCCTGGATTTGTGCAAGGCATTTGACACTGTCCCACATGACATCCTGGTCTCCAAACTGACAAGGCATGGATTTGGCAGATGGACCACTCAGTGGATAAGAGATTGGCTGGATGGCCCCACCCAGAGAGTGGTGGTCAATGGTTCAGTGTCCAAATGGAAGCAGGTGACAAGTGGTGTCCCTCAGGGGTCAGTACTGGGACCGGTGCTGTTTAATGTCTTTGTTGGAGACATGGACAGTGGGATT